GATAAATACGATTTTGTTTGTTTTTTTTTCATAACAACAACAACAACAACAACAACAACAACAATAATAATAATAATAATAATAATAATAATAATAATAATAATAATAATGATTACGAGTCATTTGCGTATAAAAAAAAAAATTTTTTTCAAATTTTTATTGTCAATGACAGAAGAAAGAACATACGTAAAATTAAATGAGTTTTTGTTTTTTACGTGTATGCGTGTGCGTGCGCGTGTGTATGCGTGTGTGTGTATACGGTGTGTATTTGTGTTTGTATGTGTGTATACGGTGTGTATTTGTGTTTGTATGTGTGTATACGGTGTGTATTTGTGTTTGTATGTGTGTATAGCAATATTTTGACAAGTATATCGGTTGGTTGACATTTTTAACTTTTGAAAAAAAAATTTAAAACACAACATATTAATTTAAAAACCGAATGTTTGATGCTCGTATTGTTTTAAATTTTAAATTTTTTTCTAACGTTTGTTTAAATAAAAACATAAAAATGAATTTTTTTTTTTTTAATGTCAATATAGATGGATGTGTGAGTGACATATTATAAATTTTATTATTATTATTATTATTCGATTCATAAATAATTTATAAATTTTTATTATTATTGTTAAATAATAATATTTATAATAAATAGAGATAAATTTTAAATCAGGTATCGGTTAAAATAAGTTTTATTTATTAAAAGAGGGCTGATAAATAAGTGATAAAGAGAGAAAGAAAGAGAAAGAGAGAGAGGGGGGGAGAAATTAAGAAAAAAAAAATGATACAGAACACGGTCCTGGATAACTAACTAATTAACCATGAATCAAGTGTCTAAAAAAGGAAAAATAAAATTTTGCTTCGAGTTAGTTTTTTTTTTTAGTTTCAAAACTAAATCGAGTTGGATATGCCAGAGGATTTTTTTAGTGTGGTATATGGCATGTGATGAACGAAAGACAAAGTCGTGTGCAAATCGCAAGCAGAAGAAAGACAAACAAACAAACTAACAAACGGAAAAAACGCGCGCGTCGGTATCAAATATATATAAAATCAAATGCTAGTGAAAAGTATTAGTGGTAATAATATTTAAAAAAATTTTTTAACGATTATATCGTAATTAAAATATATTTAAGTGATAATTATTACCCGTAATAATAATAGTAATATTATAAAAAAATTATCGTATTAAAAAACGAAGAGTGACGTAATTAATAATAATTTTTGGGAAAGTTTTTTGGAAACTAAAAATCGTTGTAAGTATTTTAAACTAAGATTCGACCAAGACAAATTTATTACTTAATAAATAAATTTTTGGTCACAAACGCGATTCGAGAAAAAAAATTATTTTTTATTACGTAATTAAACGAGTGTTTAAAATATTTTTTTTCCATCACGGTTATTTAATTAAATTTAACAATAACTTTTTTTTTAAATTACAAATTTTTTTTTAAAGTTAAAAAATCGAGTCTTTCATTTTCGTCACATTTTTTTAAAACGACATAAAAAAAAATTTTAAAACGTTTTGAAACGGAAAGAGTGAGAGAGTGTGAGAGAAAGAGAGAGATAGAAAAAAGTAAATTAAAATTTATGTTCTTGTTAATAAGATATTTTGAATCCACTTCTTTTAAAAAAAAAAAAAAGAAATTATTAATATATATATAAATACCCGCGCGCGCTCGTGTGTGCGAGTGTTTAATGACTTTGAAAACTTGATTGTGCGTTATAAAAATCATTATTATTATTATTATTAAATTTTTTAACCCATATTATAGTTATTAAAACCTTGATAACTTGTATGGCACAAGGCTCACTCAGATATATTTATTTATATACTTATAATAAATAAATAAAGTAAAACATAACATTAAATCTATCGATATGATTATAATAAACACTTTCCACGAAAATAATAATTATTATTATTATATTTTAAAGAGTAGAAGGTGTTGTTGTTGTTATTGTTGTTGGATTACCAAACAATACGATTGTTAATAATATTTCATTATTATTATTATTATTATTAAAATTATTTATGGGTTAAAAAAATTTTTAATAAATATAATAATTAAATATATAAAACGAGATTAAACGAAACGTGAAAAATTCATTTTGACGGTTAACACAAATAAATAAATAAATGATAATAATAATAATAATAATGGAGTGGTACCAGTTTATTGAGAGTTGAAATGAATTTTTCAAATGGAAAAAAAAATACTCGATACTCTGACGTCATAAAAAAAAATTGATTAATTTTATTATATTTTTTGAGTTTTGAGAAAACCTTAAAACCTTTTTTCCACGGGTTTTTGTTATTTAGGTTGTTTTTAATTATTATTACCGGTTGTTTTTATAATTTATTACGGTCGTGATTATAAATAATAATAATGATAATAATAATAATAATAATAATAATTACAGTTTTATAGTAAAATTAAAAATGTGATACTGTTTTAATTAGTAGGCCATTAAAACTTTGTCAAAAATTAATCTGGTGGTACTCCAAGGTTAAAATTTGCAACAACAACAACAACCAACAACCGAAAAAAAAAATTGTTTATTAATAAATAAATAAAGAAAATTAATTAAGAAATTTTTGACAAAACGACTTTTTTTTCAATTTTTTTTTTATAACAAATAAAAAATTAATTTTATTATTATTTAAAAATTTCAAATAATTTTTAATAAAAATTCGACAATATATTTTCTCCAATAATATATATACTTTACAATATATACTTTACAATATATATATACAATATATATATATATATATATATATATATATATATATATATATATATATATATTGTTGTTTAATAATATTATTAATAATAATAATAATATCCTTGGCCTAATAGTGAAGTCAAATGGATATAATTAATTTTTAAAAAAAAAAAAAAAACATTGATGACTTTATCAAACAACCATTTTAAGTTTTTGACCTAAAACAATTAAAAAAAAAAAACATTTTTTATTTATCCACACACTTGATTTAAAAGTAATAAATTATACTACTATTACATATCGATCATTATTATTATTATTATTATTATTATTATTATTAATATTGGTTTAAGGGAAGGTTGTAAAATTGTAATGTGTGTGTGAGTGTGTGCATGTTATGGTTTGGTTAGGGGCAAATCGCTTTCCCTTTCAATATTTTTAAAATTAATTAATTAAAAAAAAATTATTATTTGCACTTTTATTGCAACACTCCATTATTATTATTATTATTATTATTATTATTATTAACATTATTATATTTTTACACTTTTTTTTGTTGAAGGAAAAGAAATAAAAAAGAGTCACGTTTGTCATTGTCGTTTATAAAAAAAAAAATTGGAAAAAAAAATAATAATAAAATTTCCCGAAGGTTTTTTGCTTCTGTTGAGAGGAGGTGAAGTGAGGGGACGGGGAGGGGAAGGAGGTGGGAAGAGGATTTGAAAACCTATAACGATTTTTTTTTTCTGAAAAGTAAAATTTTTTTAATAAGAAAAATTGATATTATCAAATCGGTGACGGACGGTACCGCCTTATTTTATGGTAATTTTCTGGGCTAGATGAAAGCGATAATAAAAAACGTCCGCGAGACAAAAAAAAAAAAAAATTGATAATAAATAAAAATCTAAATCAAAGTTTAAATACTTTAATTTAATCTCCTGTTGTGAAAACAAGTGTTTTTTTATTCGTTGTATAAATAATAATAATTTTCACGTACTTTTTTTAACAACAATTACAAAACAACAAAAAGGGATGAATTTTTTTTAAATTTAATTTTTTTCCTATATATAATTCAGGTAAGTTTTTTTTTTTCAATTTTTTTTTACGTTTTCGAAAAAGGAAAATTTAAATTGTAAAAGGAATAAATAAATTATATTGTAATATATAAATAAAAAAATAAATCAAACGTAAAAAAAACTTTTTAGTGAAGAATGACTAATCATATTTAATAAAATTATTAAAATCAATATCATCATGGGCAACCATGGTTTGTTTTAAATTTAATAAGTTTAAACTCGAGTTTGATTAATTTACCACAACAACAACAACAACAACAACTTAAAAAAAAATCAATATCTGTCACATTACAAAATCGATGAATATTTTCCGGTATATCGATTATTTTAATGAAACAAACATTTATTTAATTTTTCTCGGTAATAAATTAAAATTTTAAAAAAAAACCACCATATTTAACTCTGTAATAAATTTTTTTTTTTTTAAATAATTTAGCAATACAGAATAAATATGTAACATATGTGAAATGATAACGAAAAGATTTCACGTATAAATAAAAATAAAACAGAGATAATAATAATGATTAGTTATAGGAGTGCCACTTAAAAAAAAGATTAATACAATTGACACAATACGTGAAAAAAAAATTGACACGATTGAATGACAGGAAAACACGAAAAAATAAAAATTTTGTTAAACTCGTTTTTTTTTTTTTTTTAAATATTTTTATAAATTCGTTATTATTATTATTATTAATAAATCGCATAATAATAATGATAATATTGTTGTTGACTTCGTGTTTAAAAAAAATAAACGATAATTTTTTTTATTTTGTTTTTATTTTAATGTAAAAAAAAAAGAAAAAAGTGAATTCGTCCCATTAGTACGGTTTTGGTAATTAACAAAAAAAAACTTTTCCAGATCGAATGGCAATCTGTACCTGCTGCTCACAAATCAGGTACGGTTGCTACATTCACGAATGTAAATCGTTAAAATAATATTATTATTTTTTTTTTTTTACTCTCGCGAAAAGTGATAATCGGGGACTAGATTTTCTTTTTTTTTTTTTTTTTTAATTATTATTATTATTGTTTTTGTTGTTTGTATTATTATTATTATTATTATTATTATTATTATTATTATTATTATTATTATTATTAATAGGAAAAAAACACAAAGTTAAGGTAAAAAAAAAAAATTATAATTTTTAGAGCGTAACCCTTAGAAGATAAAAGTAATATAAAAGTAATTGATTCAACGACATGTCCAACGAGGCAAACCCTCAGGAAACAACAGGAGGAATTGCTGTCGATGATCCTTCTTCAGAGTCTATAATAAAATCGAAACAGCAAACAAATTATAATGAATCCGCTTCACCTCATCAGCATTTCAATAGGAAAACATCCGCCAATTCGGATCATGCAGGTGATCAACATGGTCCCGTGAGACGAAAATCAATATTACATAATACTACTCATCATTTAAATTATGGATACCATCCAACGGAAGAAGGTAAGTCTTTTTAAAATTTTTATGTGTTTGTGTGTGTCTTTGTTTTGTAAAGTTTAACGTGTATGAGTTTGTGACGAAGGAGACACTGGTTTTTGAAAAAAAAGGAAGAAAAGAAAAAGAATTTTTCCAGGAACTTTGAACACGCGTTATGGAAATACGAAAATTTCCGCGGTTTAATATATAAAGAGTAAGAATAAAATTAAGTAATAATAATAATAATATGACAAACGTGTATTTTAACATTAGGGTTAAAAATAAATTTCAGGTATATGTAAATGAGAATGATATGATGTTCTAGAGGTTTCTATTCAATATCATCAATGTCACATAGTGTTCCTTGTGCACTTGTTAGATTTAAAAAATTCTTAACAAATTTAACTATTTTATATTCATTTCAAGTTTCATTCAAACCGCAGTTAATAATTTTCCTTGTTTGTTTGTTAGATTGTTGTTTGTTTGTGTTTATTAGGGGCCTTACAGTTGACAGTAGTACATGTACTAAAAAAAAATTTTTCTTTTAAACAAATAAAAATTTAATCGTATTTAAACGATAATAAAATTAGATATTAAAAAAAAAAAATGTTATCTGTTAAGTTTATGCCTAGTGAGTTGTTGTTTGTTGTTGTTTTTTCGATTGTAACGGTTGTTGACAAAAAAATTTTTTTAATTTGTTTTCAATTTTTTTTTGTTTCGTGTGACTTCTAAGAAAGAAAAAAAAAAAAAATTTAATCACGAAATTGCATAAATGCACTAAATTAACCATTACAAAAAGAAAAGTAGTATCTTGATGATAGTTTTTCCTTTTGTTGTTTGTTGTTGTTGTTGCGTTTACCGAAAATAAATATTATTTCAAGTATTTTTACTTGTTATCTATGTAGTTTGCCTGAAATTTATTTAAGTTGTTTTTTTTTTGCTTACGTCGCGGAAATTACGTCACAGTGAATTAATTTCTGAACGTGGAAATTTTGTCGCCAACATGCGAAAAGAAAAAAAGAAAATTTTTTTTTGTTTGAATTTCTTTTTTTACATCTGTGTTGATTTTTTTTTTTCGTTTTATTTTTTAGATAAACATTGGAATGGAGATACGAATCTTGATAGACATCGTCCAAGTTCCAGAGCCCAATCTTTCTGTTCGGAAAAAAGTAGAAAAGTAGAAGAAGATGCAGCATTAGTTAATTCTTGGTGGTATATATTTTGTGCAAAATGCAGGCAAAAAGAAAGTTCGAAATCGTGGGAACCGACTCATTGGCAAAAAGTTTGCCCATATCCATTTTGCCCATCTTACCGTCATTTTGCCAGATTACTTGCTTTAGTATTAGTCGGGTTTTTGCTTTGGGGTATTGTTTATTGCATATTAGGTAGTACAGCAGCACCCGGTGGTCAATTATTCGGACTTGCGTTATTGTGTATATGTGCGAATATCGGAGGATGGTTTGCAACCGTATTGACTTTACCCGCATTAGTTGGAATGTTAGCCGTGGGTGTTCTTTTTCAAAATGTCGGATTAGTGCATATAAGTGAAGAATATAAAGAAGTATGTTCGATATTAAGGTTAGCAAACGTTATTTTATCGACAGTTAATATGTTTAAATGCGCATGCGCTTAAAAATCATTCATTTTGAAATTTTTATTTTCTGATTTTTTATATATAGAAAAATTGCATTGGTTATTATACTTATTCGAGCAGGACTCGATTTAGATCCGAAAGCTTTAAAAAGGTTGGCTTTATCTACAATAAAGCTCGGTCTGGTACCTTGGATTGTAGAATGTGCCATAATTGCAACAATGACATATTTTCTCATGGGTTTACCATGGATTTGGGGATTTTTATTAGGGTAAGAATGTTTGTAAATAATGGAACGTTTGTATCTGTCGTTCAAATTCTTCCTCCGGTAATTTTTTTTTTTTTTAAATAATTTTAGATCGATTATAGCAGCTGTTTCTCCAGCGGTAATTGTACCCTGTCTTCTTCGTTTGAGAACTAAAGGTTATGGTATAGCAAAAGGTATACCGACACTTATCATATCGATTTCGGGTATTGACGATGCCGCTTCCGTGGCTGCTTTTGGAATCATTCACGGATTCATGTTTTCGAATTGTAAGATACTTTTTTTTTTTTAAATAGTGGTTTTCTACAGGTTATAAAAGAAGGAGAATAATAATAATAATTTTAATATGATAAAAAAAAATCATTATTTCAGCCTCTTTAGTTTTCAACATAATTCAAGGTCCGGTATCGATCATAATGGGATTTGGTTTTGGAATTTTATGGGGTTTTCTTTCGAAATTTGTGCCAGTTAAAGATGATGTATGTATCTAGGTAAAGTATGAGTGAAAATTGTACAAAAAAAAGAAACTATGGTAATTAATAGTTTTAAAATTAAAATTTTAATACATTCTACAAGTTTTAAAATTATTGGCGGTTTGTTTTTCTTATGAATTTTTAAAAAAAAAATTTAAATGATTTCTGTTTAAAAAAAAAAAAAAGTTTAAAAGTATAATTTTTTTTTTTTTCATTCAATACTTTACAAATAAATGAGCTTATTATTACGATTGCCAAAAGAATAATTTTCTAGTTATTATTATTATTATTTATTTAAATTTTGTACGAAGTGCACGATAAGTGGCAATATTTTAATATGAAAAAAATAATTTTTTGGGGAAAATTAATTTTTAGCCTTTTGTGATTCCACTACGTGTTCTTTTGCTCTTTTGCGGTGGAACCATTGCTGTATTAGGTAGCGAAGAAATAAATTTTGGTGGTGCTGGACCATTAGGATGTGTAACTGCAGCATTTGTTTCATTTTTATTTTGGAGTCAGCAAGGTTGGGATGTTGAAGATGTAAATATTAAAATTTTTTCAAATTGTTTTCTCCTGACGTCATGAAAAATAAATTAAAATAAAATAAACATAAAAAATTTTTAGAATCCGGCTGCCACGGCTTTTGAAATTTTTTGGATGATTTTCGAACCGATTTTGTTTGGTATTACCGGTACCGAAATAAAAATTGATCAAATGGATGGTGATGATGTAAAAACTGCACTTCTTTGTTTGGTCGTTGCAATCATTGTACGTTTTTAAAAGACATTTAATTTTTAAAAGGTATTAAAAAAATTGTCAATAATAAAAATTTTTTTTTTTTTTGGTAGATTCGAATAGTGGTTACGTTTTGCATTGCTTTCGGAGACAAACTCAATGCAAAAGAAAAAATATTTGCCGCATTTGCTCTTATGTCAAAAGCAACCGTACAAGCGGCTTTAGGTCCAGTGGCTATGGAATCAGTTAAACACTCCGGTGAATCCGAAGACGAAGATAGGAAAAGAGCTGAATTTGTACTTTTAGTTTGCGTACTTTCTATTGTTATCACAGCTCCCATAGGTGCCGTAATTATTTCACTTTTGGGTCCAAGACTGTTAACTAAAACCTCAGCTCCATCTCCTTCGTCCGAGTGGAGAAGAAGAAGTCATAGACCATCCATTCGAGATATATCGATAATAGATGAAGAAGAAGAATTGGATGGTAGTTCGGTTCGCGAACCGGAAAGACCTCCAACCATATCCGAAGAAGTAGAAATACAGGAAATATCCAATAGGAATTCGCCATCGTTTAAATCCAAAGAGGAAAATGATACGCAAGAAATAAAATCTTAGCCGAAAACATTCTCGTCGTCTTGATGGCGAGATTTTGAAATATTTAGTTTGTTAATGACTGATATCTTCCGTTCATATATATGTGCATACGTAATCATTTGAACGAAATTTTAAAGGTTTTATTGAGAAGTAATAAAAAATTATTAATTATTAAGCTCATAATTACGTGAGAATTGAATTTAAAAAATTAGGTTGTGTTCGAAGAACAGGAGAAGAACCAAAAAAAAATTAATTTTAATTTCAATTTAACGAAACCAATACCGTATGTAGAAGATTTTTTAAAAAAAATTCATTACCACATATACCACGTAATTTTTTATTTATTTTTTATTTATATTTTATGAATTATTAATGCCAAAAAAAAAAATTTACCCGGACTTCGAATTATACAATTTAAAAAACACAAAAACATTTTTTTTAAAAAAAAAAAACAAACGCTGAAGGTGTGTAACATTCTAAAAATAATTTTTTCTTATTATTATTTAAATTAGAATTTTCTTTAAATAAATTACACGTTAAATTTAAATATATATATCTAGTCAAAAAAATACAATAATTTACTTAAAAAAAACTTTTTTTTTTTATTTAAAAAACACTTAAAATTAAAAACAACACAAATCCTCATTTGCTAAAAACATTTGTTACCTGATAAATAAATAAATAAGATCAATGAGCTTTAATATTTTATGTTATTCGAGTTTAAATAATTTAAACGATGTAAAAAGTATTAAGATGTAAACATATGGGAAATTAGGAAAATGGTTTAAGGTTTAGTAGGTTTTTCGATAATGTTGTGTGACATGCAAGAAGGAAGAGAAGATAATTGTTTTGTAGTGTAATTAATAAAAATATATATATTTTTTTAATACCAAATTTATTATTTAATAACCCTTTTTTATTTACATAAAAGAGATGAATTTTGAACGAATTATAAAATTCCTTTTATTCTGTCAGAGTGCGTTGAATCAGATTTATTTTACCTTTTGTATTTTTAAAGTAGTATATCAGTTTTTAAATAATTTTTTTTTCTTTTTTTTTTTTTGTTAACCCAGGAGAAATGCACTAACTTCCCCACACGATAGCAGGGAGAGTGTGGGACTCAGCCGAGGCCACTGCCCAACTAAAACTCCTGGATGTGTTTCATTGCGCTTTTTTTTTCTTCCCGGGGAGGAGCGGCGGTCGCAGGAGTATGACCCGCATTTCAGCCTCAACCTCCCACAAAGCCGGAATCATCAGATCCGCACTCGCGATGGTGGGAGCGAATCCTCCACCGGCGTAGCCGCCGCAGAGATCCGCTCCACCAAATTGGGATATCCCCATCAATATAATACACAAATAAATACATAAAATTACATTAATACAATAATCATGTTAGAGTGAAACCTTTTCGAGTTTGAACTGCGAGCCATCGAGAGCCGGCTTCGTCTTTTTATTTCTCTTATCAACCACTGCAGGCCCACTATTCGGCTTTTGTTTTACGCATTTTTTACTCTTTCGAGTAACTGTAATGAACCCATCATTGGTTCTAGAAATAATTTCATTTGTATCAGCAGGTACATTCATGTTCCCTGCCCGAAGGGAGGTCGCTACCTCCCGGGTCTCAGTAACCTCATTCATTCCCGTGGCCACAGATCGCATTTCGGCCAGTCCTGAGCCCATTTTTTTTGACTCTGAGGATTGCAAGTTCCCTTTTCAGCCTCCGAATACGGTTGGTGGCTACCCAAATTTCTTGTCTTAACCTCTCCATTCTTTCGCCACCCGAAGGGTCGGAAGCTCTCGACTCCAATTCCCGAACAGCAGCTAAGACTACAGATATCCCATCCTTTATCGTTTTGGCATAATTCCCTTTTAAGTTCGCGCTACCCCGAGCGACAGAGGAAACACAGCGCGCTGCGTTCATCGCCGCTTCGAGGATGTCCCCCTTGCTCAGGCGAGCCATGCCCCCCGCCCTAATCTGGGGGAAGCGAAAAGTCGCCTCCTCTGCAGCAGCCTCTTTTTCTTTTCGCTCAGCCGACTGCAAAAGAAGCAACGCTTCCTCCTCTCCCTTCCTTCTATTATCCATCTTAGGACGCCCCTTAGGCCTCGAGAACACTAATATTCCACCTAAGTCCTCCCTCAGCCGATCCAAGTCACCTTAGCATCCTCTGTCAAGATGTCAGGATTAGCAAGCGACATCATCAAATTCATAAAAAAAAAAAATTAATAAATAATAATAATAATAATAAGAAAATAATAAGAAAATTTAAAAAATGCAAAATAAAAATAATTTTTTTTTTGATAGTCCAGGAGAAATGCATTTCGCACTAACTTCCCCACCCGGTAGCAGGGAAAGTGTGGGACTCAACCGTTTTCGGCAGAGACACCCGGAGACCGGTGTCCCGGATGGCCTCCACCGTCGCGTGAAGTCCCGTTTTGGCACATTCGCGAACCTCCGCCCACCCGCGACCGATCGCGGAAGCAAGATGTCATCTGCGTAACAAGTCAACGATACGCCTTCGGGAAGAACGATCCGGGTGAGGACGCGGTCGTAGGCGATGTTCCACAGGAGTGGTCCTAGAACCGATCCCTGAGGCACGCCGCAGAAGACGTCCGCCTTCCCGTCGTTCCGTCCGGTTTCTCGTGCGCGATCGTCCTCTCCGAGAGGAAGGAACCGATGATCGATGCCAAGTAGTTTAGAACAAATTTCGACGTCAGTCCGTCTCTTATCGCGGACCACGGTACCGAATTGAACGCGTTTTTGATGTCGACCGAGACGGCGATCGCGACGCTGCCCCGGCGAAGAGTGTCCCGGATTCCGGCGCACATGCGGTCGAGTGCGTCGGTCGTCGAACGGCCCACCCGAAAGCCGTACTGATTCGGAGAGAGGTCGTTCCTCCCTCCCCCTGATCGTAACTGTTCGTCTATCCAGAACGCCCTCGAACAACTTGCCCTCTACGTCGAGAAGTCAAAAAGACAAATCGGTCGATACGCGCTCGCGTCGTCGGATCCCTACCCGGTTTGTCTAGCAGAACTAGGTTCGCTTCTTTCCACGGTGTCGGAAACGTCGTCTCTCGGAAGCACGCGGTGTAGAGCGCCGAGAACGCGGTAATGCACGCCGTTCGGGCCCAGAACAAAGCATCTCTTCGAGGCCGCGTCGAGGAGAAGTCACTGCGGCGTCGCGATTTTCGTCGTAAGGGAAATCTGGCGGGGAAACGCGACGGTCGACACGAGGGAAGTGCTCTGCGATCACTTCTGCGAGACACTCCTCCGTCATGC